CACTCTTATTTAATATTTTTGAGTGAATATTTATTATTATGATTGGCTTATAGTTTTCTTTCTTTGCCTTACCTTTCTTTAGTTTATGTATCAGGACTATGTTTGTCTTATAAAAAGGTGTTTGGTATAAATTTTTCTATATCAATTTTTAGAACAATTTGTATAGTATAACTATTACTTGTTCTTTAAAAGTTTATGATAGAGTTCATCTTTAACTCCGTTTGCACTAGGTGTTTCCTTTGTTAGTTCCTTTATAGCTAATTTCTTTATAGCTAATTTTAAGTTCTTTTTGAAAATGAGTTGTTTATGGGATCTCTTTTGTGTTATGTTAATTTGATTATTTTTTAAAAGGCGAATGAATAAAAAAAATATTCAGCAATTCTATGTTCACATCAACCTTCATTTCTTTTAAATTTCAGTTTTGCTCACCTGATTATCTGTAGTAGATTCTGTTAATTCTTTTTATTTTCTGTTATTTTACCTTTTTCATTTTATATTTTGGTAATCTGATTTTCCTTTCTCTTCTTTCTAATAAGATTAGCTAAAGATTTATCAGTTTTGTGACAGTAACTTCCTAATTGGTCAGCTTTCTTCTCTTCTTTTTCCGATCCATCTTTTACGTAGCTACTAAAATAATCTTAAACCATAGCTCTAATTATATCACTCCCTTTTGAGGAATCTTTAAAGTCTTCAGCTTGATGTTTAGAGCCCTTCATGTTTTGTTTTCATCCTATTTCCAGACTTATTTCATGTTACATGCATTGGCACACACTGTATTCCAACCAAGCTGTACTATTTGCCGTTACCTGTTACTCAGCCTTCTTTCTTCTACCTCTCTGTGCTTTTGCACATAGTCTGTTCTGCATGCCTAGAATACGCTGGCTTCTTGCTATCACATACAGGAATCCTTTATTGATTCTCTCTAGTTTAGTGGCCTTTCTTTCCTCAGATTATAGTATATGTACTTACTTGTGTGGTAAATGCTGCCATTCTTCGCAAAGAATATAAGCTCTTTAAGAATAGGTCTATTTTTCATTTGTCTTTTCATCCCTCGTGCCTTGTACATAGTTTGCAATTAATACATTCATTTTAAGAAATCTAAGTAACTATCATTGTAACACATTTTAACAATTATATTTGATCAGAAGAAGACATGTATAGTGTAGAATGAATAGTGGAATCAGAAATCCTGGATTCTAATCCTGATTTTTTTAGTACCCGAGTGACCTTAGATAATTCTCTGTTTATCTACCTTTTTCTTATCTGTGAAACAGGTGAATTGGATTAAAGGATCTTTCAGATTCCTTCCTGTTCCAATTCTTAATGATCTAGTCACTGAGCCTTAGCTTTGTCAGGGTCCCCAGGAGTCATCTTACCCAACCTCTTTCATAATGTAGGAATCTCTTCTAAAACATCTTCAAGCAAGTGGTGTCCATAGTCCTGATTGAGTAACTTCAGTAATGGGAACTCATTGCCTCCCAAGAAAATTCTTTTATTCATTTTCTGATCATTTGTTATCTTTTCATCTTTCCCTGTGCTCCAACCCTGTTTTTTATCCTAACCATGACCTCCAATCCTCTCACCCCAGTTGTTTTTCAGGCTATTACCTCTGCACTGGATACACCCTCCACTTTTTTTTATCTTGATCCTATATTCAACTCCCTACTATGTACTCCTTTTCTCTGTTATCATTGATCATATCTTGCCAAACTGCAACCTTGAATTACTCCCATCATTGTTTATCTTTACTCCTATTGGCATTGAGTGCTAGAGAATATCACAAAACTTTGCTGACTAGGTCCATTAAAATTTTGTTTTAATCTCAACTGTGCTCTCACTGCATCAAGGTAATGCTTTTATACTTACCTAATCAATTAGCTGTCTGACTCATAGCACCTTTTCATCCCTCCCTAAATGTCTTATGACTTTCTTTCTCTTGCCCTTTCAGCTAAGAATGTTGCTTCATATTCCACTGAAAAAAAAAAAGAGAATATTTTCCAGGAACTTCCTCTTTTCCTCTCCTTTTCATCTCACTTAATTTAGATGCCTTTTCTCACTAACTCCTCCTTCACCCCTGTTTCATGTGAAGCATGGCTCTTCTCTTCAAGGCAAACCCTTATACATGGATGTAGCATTCTATTCCATCCTATCTTTAGTAGATTGTGCCTTCTACTACCCCCACTATCATTTACTTTGACCCTGTCTATTTGCTTCCCTGCTTCCTGCAAACATGCCCATCTAATTTTCAACTGAAACTGTTCTCCTAGGTTGCCACTGATCTCTTAAGTGCCAAATCTGATGGCCTTTTCTCAGTCTTCCTTCTTGATCTCTCTAGCCCTTGACATGGTTGGTTACCCTCTTCTCCTTGATATACCCTTCTCTAGTTTTTTTCTGGTACTGTTCTCATGTTTTTCCTTTTACCTATCTTATTATTCCTTCTCAACCTTCTGTGCTGGATCTTCATATCCATATCCATCATGGCTGTTAACCATGGATTCCCCAAGGTTCTGTCTTTCCTCTATACTATTTTATGTAGAGATCTCATTAGCATCCATGGTTTCAGATATCAGCTCTTTGCAGAAAATTCTCAAAAATCCTTGTCAAGCCTTACTCTTGCTACTGACTTTCAACTACTTATTTGACATCTCAAACCTGGATATCTTATAGATATCTTAAACTTCAGCATGTCCAAAACTGAACTCATTCTGTTTTGGGGGAAAACCCAAAACCTTTCCCTCTTCCTAACTTATTACTGTTTAAAGTAGCACCATTCAATCACCTAGGCTCACAACCTAGTTATCTTTGATCTTCTATCACCCCTCATGTCCAATCTGTTGCCAAGTCCTCACTTTTGCAATGTCTCTCTTACGCACACCTTCTCTTCTGACACTCCTGCCACTTTGGCAGGTCTTCATACCCTGCTGGACTAGTTGGTCTTTTTACCTTGTGTAATCTGGAGACTACTATTACTAGTCAATATTCCTGTTTTATTCCACCACTCTCCCTGTTCAGCAAACTCCAGTAACCCTGTTATCTCCAGGATCAAAAATAAAATACTGTTTGGATTTTAAAGCCTTTCATAGCCTTCCAGTCTTCTTAATGTGTTATTTCCTTCTATGTACTTTGTAATACAGTGACACTGGCCTCCTAACACAACACACTTTCCTTCTCAACTGCATTTTTTCTGACTATTCCCCCATGCCTGGAGTTCTTTCCTTATCTTCGCCTACTGGTTTCCTTCAGTTAAAATCTCAACTTCTTCAAGAAGCTTTTTCCAGGTCCCCTCAATACTGGTGCCTTCCCTCTGAGATGACTTCCAATTTGTGGGGTATGTGTGTATACACACACACACACACACACACACACACACACAATTGTTTATGTGTTTTGTTTCCCATTAAAATCTGGCAGGGACTCTTTGCCTTTCTTTGTAGTGCCTGGTACATGGGAAGGATTTAAAAAAGTACTTGTTGACTTGTCAAGGAAAATCATTCCATTTTAATTGTGTAGTAAGGCAAATTTCTGTGTAAGTTAACTTAAAATACATTCTACCTCAGTATACTTGTAGAGTGAGTAGATGGAGAGCAGGTAAGTGATCTAGCCATATTTATAGTACAAGGGAAATGTAAAATTCATTTACAAAGAATTAGCTTTTCAAACTTGTTTTTTCACATTTAAGGTTAGTTTTAAATTGTGAGTACACACATATATACTTATGTATGTATTTACATATACTTATGTATTTTCTAGTTAAAAGTGTTTAGTTGGTTGTTTATTATATTCCTTGAAACATGGCCCGTGGTTGTCTCTCTCTCTGTCTCTCTCTCTCTGTCTCTCTCTCTGTCTCTCTCTCTGTCTCTGTATATATATATATATATATGTAGTAAGTGATGTGAGTTATAGACTCATTAATCAATCAGGACAGCTCAGTCCTAAGGCCTGAGTTCCAGAGTTTAGTATACTAAATCCCTCAGCCTCAGATTGTAGTACAAATGGTAAGAAGATGATTGAATTGGACAGTGAGTTGGCATGTAAACCATAGTCTGTTCCGATTTAGGGTCAAATAGTTGTAATAGATAAAAGTCTTTTGTACCATTTAAACATGAAATTATCAGAAGAACCATTTAAAAGAATCATAATCACATTGTTAGACCTGGAAAGGCCCTGAGAAGTTCTCTAATCCAACCCATTAAGGGATTAGTGACCCCAAGTACTGGGAATTGAGAATGCAGAAAAAATTTTGCTAGCCTTCTTAGCTCAGATTAGAGAACCTTCCTGGGAGCACAATTGCTGAAGATGGATTACTACCAAAAAGTTGGTTCAAATGAAGGTATTACTTACAGTTGGAAGGAATCTTAGAGATAATCTAGTCAATTCCCTTATTTGTGGAACTTGCTGAAGGTTACATGGGTAGTAAGTAGTAGAATCAAGATTAGAATGCAGTATTCTTTTCACATGCTATCACATGTGTTGATACTTCAGCTCCCTTCTTCCTACCTACCTCCCTCATCTCCCTTATCCCTCCCTCTGAAGCTTTGGTTTTAAAGCTCATCACTCTTTGGAGAACTCAAGTTAAGAAGCACTTTTTGTAGGCTCTGGCAATTTACTCCCCAAAAGTTATACTCAGGATATAAAATTACACTATACTCCCCCATATAAAATTTTCTGTTTATGGACAAAAGCTGGGAAGAAAGTATTTAAGATCAAGGTAGGGATTTTAAGAAGAAAAAGACATGAGGGATTGGTAGGGTAAGTGTTACCACCATTTTGCAAATAAAGAAATTGGTCCAAAGTTGATAGAAATTTAAGATAGTATATATTGTAGGCTATTTCTGGCAATTAAAAAGAACCACCTACATAAAGATCTTACTAGTTTCATTTTAAAATTATAATAGATACCAAATCAACTTGTTTCATAATAGGGAACATATAGAATAGGTTTGTTTTTTTTTTAATTCTTTGTCCTTTCACTTTTTGGAATTTTGTTTTTCCTTCCTTAGGCCTTGCAGTGTTAAAACATGTCTTGACACCAAGAATAAAGGCAACATATGTTGCTTTTGACTGTATGAAGAATTACTTAGATGCGATTTATGATGTCACAGTAGCATATGAAGGTACTGTGGATCAAATGGGAAAAAGAAAAGAAGCACCTTCTATGACTGGTGAGTCTGATATTCTCACTTTTCTAATTTTATTTTATTTTTGTAATGGATGCTTGCATAGATGTATAAGTTTTACCAAATACATTCAAAAATTAATTTTAAAAATTAAACTGAAATTGATAGCAGCCTTTTTATTTTTTGTGTTAATACATACCTTAGAGTAACTTAGTCATTTATGGGGCAGAGACTAATTTGCATGCCCTTTAAATGTTTTCATGATAATATAAAAGCATTTTTTAAAAACTTAGTGTGTAATACAATTTTAAGGTATTATTGTTAATTTGGAATCCTTGAATTGTATTTTACCGATATTTACCATGAACCACATTCAGGCATATCAAACAGCTATTAGACCTACAAAAAAAGCAGAGAATTAGCATGTAAATTGCTTATGTGCAATCTGATGTCTTCCTACACAGATTTGTAGTTGAGATTTTTTTCTGCCCTGAAACATTTATTTTCCATCTGTTTCTTCAAATTCTCTCATAATTACTAGTTCACATTCTTTTTACGTGAAGTATATAGCTAATCAGAAAATATATCACTAGTGTAAATTAGGTAGGATGGAATCCGAGACACATCCCTACATGTCTGTAAAGTCACTTGGAGAACACTGGCATAGCACATTGAGTTGTGCTATAAGTATTCTAAGTTTGTGTGTTTGTATACATGTGTGTATGTGTGTATGTATGTGTCCGTATTTCTCCTGTCTTCTTTTCTTACAATTTTTTTATCTGTGCTAATGAATTACCTCCCCAAAAGATCATTTCTCCATACAAAATAGAACAGAAAAAGATGACTGTATATGAAATTGCTCATCTCTGCTAAGTTTATTGCTTAAAAACAAAATTCAAATGATTACTTTCAAAGCTGTCCTTTCTGTATCTCCCTCTGAACTTCATTCTGTTCTCCTCTGTGAATTCTCTTGTGTTTTAGTAACATTGTTTTTAATGATCCCCTTTTTTTTCCTTATCCCCTTTGGCAACTCCATCCTTACACCATTCTCCCTGATTTTTTAGATAAAATTGAACTGGCATACAATAATAAAAATGCTAGTGGGAAAATATTTTAAAAATCAAATTCTTTTTTTTTTTTAAGAAGGTACCTGGAAATCAGGTTAAGGAATTAAAAAAAATTTATTCCCCCACAAGTCCTTTGGAATTTGCTTACTCTTTTTCTTTAGTCATTCATTTTTTCCCACATTCTGTTTATCTTAGTAAGAGTGATTAGTAGATAGTCTTTTTCAACTTCACTTTGATTTAAGACATATAGTAAACAAAGCTATATCCATGAAAACCAAACATAAAAATAATATATTTATAAAAACAATAACAAACATTGTTACATGCTTATTATATCCTAGGTTCTGGGTTTGCAAGGACAAAACCCAAAAAACAGCAATAGTACATCTGGTGTGAAAGAAACAAAAATAATGATTCAACAAACATCTTTTAAGTGCCCATTGAATGCAATGTATTGGTTCAAATAGTAGAAAAAATTGGAATTCTCATTGTAGTAAGCTAAAACTTGAATTCATTTGTAACTAAACTTCATTTTAATAACATTAATTGGCATTTATGTAATGTCATTTAAAATTGATTTATCTTAATTTATGGGAAGTTTTTTCATAAAAACTGAAAGCACTGTTAACCAATTTTTCTTTCTCAAAAATCTTTTCTTTATTATTCTGTTGATTTGTTCTTCTTTGATTCTACCTCTTTACTTTGTTCTTTAAATGCAAAAGTTTCATTCTTAACCTTTCTGTTCTTTTTTCTCTAATCATTCTCATCTACTAATTTCAACTAGCAGATGGCTAGTGGAGCTAGTTTGGGATTGCAATTTTAATAATCCTCCCATATAAAAAGATACTTAAAGTAAAAACACTAGCACAGTAACTATTCTTTAATGTCATCTCTTTATAGAACACTGTGCTAGATTCCAGTGATAGAAAGAGGTGAAGTGGCCCCTGCAGTCATGGAGTTGAAGTCTAATTAAGGAAATAAGAGTGGTTGAGGCAATACATAGGTACTAAAGGAGTGCCATTGAAAGTAGTTGTCACTGGGAGCTCTGGTAATCTGTAAAGTTTTCATGGAAGGAGGTAAGGCTTAAAGTAAAGGCACTACTTAGAGGAGAGGGGATGGCATTCTAGTTGGGAAATGGCATTAATGTTTGAAGTTAAGAATGTGTGTCGTAGTTCTTGACATAAACAAAAGACCTCTGGCTAGGCTGTAGGTTTCATGTAAGGAAATAATGGGAGTTAAGGTTAGAGAGTAAGAACAAGATTCATCTATGAATCTTTGTGGATCCCCCAGATTGTGGAAGGCCTTGAATGCTCAGCCAAGGAGACTAGACTTTATTCACTAGGCAACAAAGGCAGCTATTGAATATTTTTAGGTAGGACAAAAGGAAGCATGTGGGGAAAAATAATCTGTTAGTGGATTATGATATCCATTTGGCAGGGAAAGGAAAGGTTAAAGTAATGGAAAAGCATATACCCTACTTAACCTTTGCTTCTTGCTCTCAATCTGAGGAGTGTTTTTTAAATATAGAGATAAGACATGTGGGGAATGTAAACCTATTGTGTTCATTGATATTCGAACACAATTTTAATGTGATTTGGGTATCTTTTGGGAAAGTATTTCCCTTTATCTTTAGGCAGCTGATTTGTGGGGGCAAAGAAGAGAATTAAGTGTTTGATTGTCCATATAATTTTAATGCAATGAGAATGATTTAGAATGAATAACTATTCCATTTGTCTTTCACATTAGTTAGGTTCAAGTGTTAAGCAGGAGACTAAGTTGAGAAGTTTCTCAGTTAGAGCAGCCTAAATTTGATATTTCCATTATCTTGTTTCTATAATGAATAATTTCTACATTATATAGTGTGCATTTAGAAGAAGAGTTAGATAGAACTCTAGTCAGCAAAATTTCAATCTAGAAAGAGACTTTTTGGGGCAGCTAGGTGGTGCAGTGGATAGAGCACTGGCCCTGAAGTCAGGAGGACCTGAGTTCAAATCCAGCCTCAGATCAAACACTTGACCCTTACTAGTTGTGTGACCTTGGGCAAGTCACTTAACCCCAATTGCCTTCAAAAAAAAAAGAGACTTTTTGACTTTGTTGGTCAAATAACTTAAAAAAAAATACCAGAAATTCTAAGCCTGCTTATTCAGTGAAATAAAATATTCATAATGTTTGCAATCTGTTTTCTACTTAATTTCATTAGAACTATATTAGTATTATTAGAGATATTATTGTATAAGATCCCTGCTCTGATAATTACTTGGCTATGTGATCATAGTCGATCACATAAACTTTCTGAGACTCATCTGTAAAATGAGAGTGTTTAGGTGATCCTCTAAAACTTAATGATCCTATTTATTTCTCCAATTTCCATCCTAACTTTTTATCATTGAGAATATTTTCCAAGTTTTTCCCATTATCTCCTCAATGTCTTGAGATTGTTGTATCAGGGAAGGCGTGATTTAAAAAAAAAATTATAATACAAATAAGCATCATAGATACAATTCTTTTTCTTTTAAAATTTGTAGTATACATTTTGCTAGTACAGGAATGAATAAAAAATAAAAACACAAGAGTTAGTAAACTGCTAAATAGTAAGTAAAATTAAAATTGTTGTGTGACCTCTATCCAACTTGCATTTATCAGGCATATTTAGAATTTGCCAGTTCAGTTAGCTGTTATTATGATATGGAATGACATGTTATAAGATGTTGCTCTTATGTATTTGGGGAATGTAACTCAAGAGATTAATTAGTAACCTATTTTAAACCCTGTACATAACTCTCCTCCATTGAAAAATAAAAGAAAAACAAGATCCTTTCAACAAATAGGCATAGTCAAGCAAAAATCCTCACATTGGACATATCCAGAAATGTGTGTTTTATTATGTATCTTGAGTCCATTATGTCTTTGCTAGGAAGTGGGTAGCAAACCTCATCATAGATCCTTTGGAATTGTGGTTGCTTCTTGCCTTAATCAGAGTTCATGAGGCTTTCAGACTTTTATATATCTTTATAGTAAAAAAAAAAAACTAATATTTTTCAATCAACAAAAATTATCTTACTCTTCGTCTCCCTTTCTCCCCTTACCCAATTGAGAAAGAAAAAACAAAACTCTTGTTACAAACATTTATAATCAACTAAACAAATTCCTCCATTGGTCATGTACCTTCCATCCCCCTGCCATCCCCCCAAAATGTGTCAATCTGAGTCCATCTCTTCTCGGTCAAGAGAGCATGTTTCGGCCTAACTCTTCTGTAATTGTGGTCAGTCATTGGGATGATCAGAGTTCTAAAATCTTTAATAGTTGTTTGTATTTTACAATAATGTTTTATTATATAAAATGTTTTCCTGTTTCTGCTTCACTCTGCATCAGTTCATTCAAAACTTTCTAGGTTTCTCTACAAGTTATTATTAAGTTAATACAAGTTGTCAACAGTCCGAAAAAAATGCTCCATATCACTAATAATTAGATAAATGAAGGTTAAAATAACCCTGAGGTTCCACCACCCATTACACTGGCAAAGTTAACACAAAAGGAAAATGGTGGTATTAAAGAGGCTAGGGGTAATAGGCAGTTTTAGTTGTAGTGAATGGAGTTGTAGATTGCTTTCAGCCATTCTGAAAACAATTTGGAACCCTGCATCATTTCATCATTTATTTATTTATTTGCTTTTTGGTGAGGCAGTCTGGGTTAAGTGACTTGCCTGGGGTCACACAGCTAGTAAGTGTCAAGTGTGTGAGGCCAGATTTGAACTCAGGTCCTCCTGACTCCAAGGCCGGAGCTATATCCACTTCGCCACCTAGCTGCCCTCTTGCATCATTTCTTAAGGCAAAATAGCATTCTATTACATTCATATACCATAGCTAGTTTAAACATTCTTCCAATTGATGAGGCTTACTTCACTCTTATTGGTTCATATAAGTCTTCTGGGTTTCTCTGAAACTATTTCATTGACGATTTCTTGCAACACAATAATACTCTATCACATTCATATACTTTGTTCTGCTATTCCTTAATTTTCACTTCTTTGCTGCTAAAAAAAGAGCTGATAAAAAGTATTTTTGTACATATAGATCCTTTTCCTCTTTTTTTAAATCTTTTTGGGCTATAATCTTAGTAGTGGTATCAAAGGGTATCACAATCTAATGTCTTTTTTGGCATAGATTCAAATTGTTATATCATTTGACTGTTGATAACTTGTATGTTTTTCTTTTAAAGTTGCCTGTTTGGCACATTAATGCACTGCTTCAGAAGCTATGGATTTATCCAGTCATCCTATTAAGCAACTTGGAACTATGCTTGAAATGTTACTAAACTGTATAGCCCAGGGGTGGGAAATCTGTAGCTTCGAGGCCACATGTAGCCTTCTAGGTCCTTGGATGCCTTTTGACTGAGTCCATGTTCTACAGAACAAATCTTTTTATTAAGGGGATGATTTGTTCTGTGAAATTTGGATTCAGTCAAAGGGTCAACTTGAGGACCTAGAGGGCCACATGTGACCTTAAGGGCACAGGTTTCCCATCCCTGTAGACCCTTTGATCTATACCTCAAAGAGATAAAGCAACAGGAAAAAAGATCTATATGTACAAACATATTTATAGTAGCTCTTTTTGTAGTGGCAAAGAAGTAGAAACTAAGGGGATACCCAACAAATAGAATAATAGGACAAATTACGATAAATTAATATTATAGAATAATATGGTTTTGTAAGGAATCATGAAAGGTTGGACCTGGGATGACTTTTTTTTTTTTTTTTTGGCTAGGCAGTGGGATTAAGTGACTTGCCCAGTGTCACACAGCTAGTAAGTGTTAAGTATCTGAGGCCAAATTTGTACTCAGGTCCTCTTGACTTCAGGGCTGGTGCTCTATTCACTGTACCACCTAGCTGTCCCCCCGCCTCCTTTTTTGTTTTTTGCTGACCTGGGATGATTTTAATCATTGTGAACCAATGCAGAGTGAAGTGAGCAAAAGCAGAACAATTTATATAATAATGATTTTGTAAAAATGAACAACTTTGAAAGAATAACTGTGATCAAACATTTGACAAGCCATGATTTCAAAGTGCCGAAAAATGAAACATGCTACTTAACTTCTGTCAGAGAGGTAATGGGCTCCAAATGCAGAATAAGACATACATTTTTGGACACGAACAATGTGGGGATGTGTTTTGCTTACTAATTTGTTAAAAATTTTTTGCTTTTCCATTTCTTCTCACACACACTCCTTTTGTTGGAGGAATTGGGTTTTGGAAGGAAAACAAAATAAATGCTTTTAAATTAAAAAAAAAAGATGAAAAATGCTTTTAAAAACCTACCAATTCATATTCTTTCATCATTTGTCAATTACAGAATGGTTCTTATTTCTATAAATATGAATTAGTGTTACATATCTTGGAAATTAGATTTGTTTTCCAGGCATATCATTCATAGGCCCTATTTAAAAAGATGCATCATTTGTAGTATGTGAGTCTATGCCACACTGCTTAAAAAGTGTTAAGGACATAGTTGTCAGTTATATGGTGAAAATAATGGAGGGGTACATGTATATATAGTAGGCTGTTCAGTCATTTTTCAGTTGTGTCTGACTAATTGTGACTCCATCTGGGCAGTTTTCTTGGCAAAGGTACTTGAGTTGTTTGCCCTTTCCTTCTCTAGACCATTTTACAGGTGAGAAAACTGAAGCAAACAGGGTTAAGTGACTTGCTGAGGCCATTCAGCTAGTCAGTGTCTGAGACCAGATTTGAACTCAGGAAGATGAGTCTTCCTGACTCCAGTCCAGCACTCTATCCACTGTGCCACCTAGCTACCCCCATATATAGTAGTACATGATTAGAGGCTTATCTCTCTTTCTTTACAGGGTTAAAAAGAGAGGTTTCCATAAACAGAAATATTTTCCCATTCTGAAATGTGTTTAGATACGTATTAATAATTACTAGATAGCATTTAGATCACCAACTGAGATTAAAACTCTGAAAAACCCAGTTTTCAGACAATAATAGCAGAAAATTAAAATTTTAACCTTTTTTGTCAAATAAAAACAAATCAATAAAAATAAGGTATTTCTGTATATGTTAGGATACCTCTTTAGGTGCTAATTACAGTATATTAATAAATTTAACTAATTAAAAGTTATGGGTATAGGGAATAATAAAACAAGGAGCAAAACAACCTCTTCTCTCTCTACACTATCTCATCTGGTGATTTCTCATCAGTTCCCGTGGATTCAACTATCATCTCTACGCAGATGATTGTCAGATTTATTCATCCATTCCCTAACAACTCTTCTGTGCTCTTGTTTCACATCATCGCTATCACTGGGCGTCTTAAACGGCAGATCACATAGATATCTCAAATTTAACATGTACAAAATAGAACTTAAATTTCCCCCCAGTTCCTCTCTAACAAATATTACTATAACTATTAATGACTACTATTACATGTTCTCTTTCACTCAGGCTTGTAGCCCTATTGTCATCCTTGACTTTACTCATACTCAAACCATAGATATCCAATCTGTTACCAAGTCTTATCATTTTTACCTTCACAACATGTCTTATGTATGTCCCTGTCTCTACGCTAAGCTGCCACCCAGGTGGAGGCTTCTGATTGGTCTGGTTAGTCTCCCTGGCTCAAGTCTTTTTTTTAAAATTAATTAATTTATTATTAGTTTTCAACAATCACTTTCATAAGCTTTTCAATTTTAAATTTTCTTCCCCCTCCTTTACCTCCTCCCTCCCCAAGATGTCATGCAGTCTGATATAGGCTGTACATTTACATTCCTATTAAATATATTTTCACATTAGTCATGTTGTAAGGAAGAATTAGAATGAATAGGAAGAACCACAAGAAAGAGGAAACAAAACAAAACAGAAGGAAAAAAAAAAAGAGCAAAGAGTATACTTAGATCTGCATTCAAACTCCATAGTTCTTTCTCTGGATGTGGATAGCATTTTCTATCATGAGTATTTTGGAGTTGTCTTAGATCCTTGCATTGCTGAGAAAGGCTAAGTCTATCAAAGTTAGTCATCGCACTATGTGGCTGTTACTGTGTATGATGTTCTCCTGGTTCTGCTCACTTCACTCATCATCAGTCCATGCAAGTTTTTCCAGGTTTTCCTGAAGTCCGCTTGCTCATCATTTCTTACATCACAATGGTATTCCATTACATTCATATATCACAACTTGTTCAACCATTCCCTAATTGATGGGCATCCCCTCAATTTCCAGTTCTTTCCCTGGCTCAAGTCTTAACCCACACTAATCTCCACACTTAGCTGCCAAAGTGGTTTTCCTAAAACATGTTACTCCCCCCAAATCTCTCTCCTAACTCCATGCCCTTTTATTGCCTGCTGTCCCCATGCCTGAAATGCTCTCCCTCTTCATCTTTACCCCCTGATTCTTTAAGAATGAGCTCAAACCCTACTTTCTGTTTTTGTTTTTGTTTTTTTTTTGGTGAGGCAATTGGGGTTAAGTGACTTGCCCAGGGTCACTTAGTAAGTGTCAAGTGTCTGAGACTGGATTTGAACTCAGCTCCTCCTGACTCCAAGGCTGGAGCTTTGTCCACTGTACCACCTAGTTGCTCCTCAAACCCTACTTTCTGGAAGAAGCCTTTCCCATTTTTTCTCCCCTTCCCCACAAGTACCTTTTCTCTGAGTTTATCTCATATTTGTACTGTAAGCTTCTTGATGGCATACATCATATTTTTGCCTTTATTTCTGTTTGTAGGGCTTAGTACAGAGCTTAGCATTTTGTAAATGCTTAATAAACACTTGTTGACTGACTGATCTATCTGTAATCCCTAGGATGCATCTTCTCTTTAAATACACATCCATCAAGGGACTCCATAGTCATGTTCTCTTTGAGGCAAACCACCTCAATAAATTACAATAATTAAAAAAGAAAACTTCATAATTCACATTCCTTTCCTTGAGAATTTTCCCATTTCTCAGCTTCCTCTTCTATTCTGGTATTCCAGTACACAACTTTTTTTTCCTCTTTCTTTAGCATCACAGACAAATGATGGTTCTATAACTCCCAATTTCTCTCCTACCCTGGGACATATGCATATCTAGTTATCAGCTGTGTAAGAAATGCTAAGTTAGATATAGTTATAACATGACAGTTGTGAGTTATATTAGATTATAATACTTCATCTTCCTTGGAAATTTTAGAGTAGTAGACTAAACAGTTTCTGTTCCAGTGAATGGGGAGAAAAATCAGCTGAATTGTAAAGAGATTTCAAAGGGTATCCCAGTTTTGTCTGGATGATATTATAATGAAACAGGGAGAGAAGATTGCATCTGAAGAGAAGAATTGATCCTGCTGCATTCTAACTTCCTTTTCCTTTACAGCCTAGATCCCTAAATTTTTCAACTGTTTGCTTTTTACAAGGTCTTTGTTGCTGCATCATCATGAAAAACAGACTCAGTATCTTAATTGTCATTGGAGGAATTTTACATTTTCCTCTATTTTTAAGTGAAAAATATAATCTATCATCAGTTTAATTATAATGCCTTCTGAAGTTATGGCAGAAGTAAAATAAACAGATTTTCACGATTCTATATCAATATGGAACCAAAAAGCATGAATTTTCCATTCATTTCATTAAAATGGCTGTGGGTATCATTTGTCATTTTTTTTTTTTAGAATTTCTATGCAAAGAATGTCCAAAAGTTCATATTCACATTGATCGCATAGACAAAAAAGATGTCCCAGAAGAACAGTTGTCTATGAGAAGGTGGCTTCATGACCGCTTTGAAATAAAAGATAAGTAAGTAATGTGTATACTTAAAACGATTCTGCATGTGACTGAACATCTTCATCTTTAACATCTGAAGACAATTTTTATGCAAACAATGTCTGTTAGATTTCATTCTATGAGTAAGTTAAGTGTCTTCATTTTTATGTGACTAAAAGAATTTTCAAATTGAATTGGCAGTTTTTTCATTCCGAGTTATTTTATTCTCTACACATACATTAAAGAATTTGCTTAGGAAAAGAAAATAATTTTTTTTTTTTTTAGTGAGGCAATCAGGGTTAAGTGACTTGCCCAGGGTCACACAGTCCATAAGTGTCAAGTGTCTGAAGCTGGATTTCAACTCATGTCCTCCTGAAAAAAAAGAATTCTTTTACCATAACAGACAAAACAGAGAAAATACAAAAATGCCTTCAGTCCTGTGTGACCTCTTTCTGCTTCCTCACTGATGGTGACAGAGGGTCAGAAAAAGAGAATGAATCATGGATTGGATGACTTTTAGACCATATAAATATTAACATAACTATTTGTATTCTAAACATGATATTTTTGTTCCGTTCTAATAGTTGGATATTATGGAATAACATTCTTTTAATCTTAATATTCTCATGTAAATAGAAATATAAGATACATGCTAATGACCAATTATAAGGAACTAAATAAGGATAGAATGCTTATATGTTTTATGTATGAAAAATGTAAAACCTATGTCTAGTATTGTTACTAGTAATTATGTAAAAGTTATTTCAATCACCTTTTTCTTTTTTTTTTGTCAATGCTATTCCTATCATCCCTGCAATGTCCTACTCCCTCTTTAAAAACAAACTGAAAAGCTTTATCTTTGTAATAAATAAGCAGTTAAGCAAAATAATTCCATACATATACCATGTCCAAAAACACATGGCCTTTTTCTGTACCTTGAATCCATTACCCCTCTTTCAAGATGTTAGTATTATGCTTTTCTTAATTGATCCTTTGAAGTTGTGGTTGTTAATTTCATTTAGCAGATTTCACAAGTCTTTCAAAGTTGTCTTTCTTTACATTGTGGTTGTTGCTATATAAATTGATTTCTTGATTTTGTTAATTTTACTTGGCATAATTTCATTTAAGTCTTCCTAGCTTTTTCTCAAATTGTTCCTTGTATTGTTTCAAAGCTAGAGATTCTAAGAGGCATGAACTTCATTTCAGACATGAGATAGGAAAGGGGACATTATGTACAATGAATAACAAGTAGACCAGTTTTCAATATAGAAGTTCCAGGGGTGGGAGGTGGGGACAATGTTATAAGCTTAGAAAGTTAGGTTGGAGCTAGATTGTGATGATTTTTTTAAAATGCTAAGCAGAATTTATACTTGATAACTTAAAGCATTATGTAGCACTATATTCCTGGAACAGGACAGGTTCCTAGGGATACAAGGACAAAAATGAAACAGTTTCTGCTTTCATGCAACATTTTTTTGCTATCATCAAAAGTTCTATTTTAGGAACTTCTTTTCCTCTTTGACCTCCTTGGAGGTCTCTTGGTCAAATGGTATGGAAATTTTAGTCACTCATTTCTCAGAATTCCTAATTTCTTTCCATCATTATTGGATCAGTTCATTATTACTCAAACAGTGCATTAATGTACTTGTCTTTGAGCAACATGTCCAATATTGACTTTTCCTCTTTTGGCATATTTTTGCCTCCTTGCTGGATGGGAATCCACAAAGTTGTTTTGATTTGCATTTTTCTTATTAGTGATTTGCTGCAGTGGAGCATAGATCTAGAGCTAGAAGGAATCTCAGAAACTATCTAGTCTAATGCTGATTTTACAAATGAGAAAACGGAGACATAGAGGAATCATGACATCACGTAGGCGTTTGATCACAGGTCCACTGATTCTATAGTCAGTGCCTTTTCTCCTTTACCTCTCTAATTTGCTTCCTCTCTAGTTAGCAATTATTACTTTTTAAAAATGTTTTCTTTTTTCATATATTTTGAGAGTATCTATTAAGGAATGGTTTTTGATCCTTATTTGAATTCCTACATGTTTTGGCTATTAGACCTTCATTTGAGATATTTAAAGCAAAGATTTATTTCCCAGTTAGTAGCTTCTTTTCTTATACTAGCTCAGGGCTTCTTACACTTTTTCCACTCACAACCCCATCAGCACTTCTTAAACTCTGGGTTGCGACCCCATGTGGAGTTGTGACCCACAACTGCATTTATTGGGTAAAAGCTTTTTAAATTTCACCTGATGGAAAAATCTACTCTAACTTTTGTGATTATCTAGATCCCCTTTTATGTTAAGAATTCTTTACTTAGCTCTTGCTGTGAAAGATACATTACTTACGTATGACTTTTTATATTCAGGTTAGGTATTCATTTTGAGTATATTTTGTTTCATGATGTAAAATCTTTGTATAAACCTAATTTCTGCCAAATTGTTTTCCTGTTTTCCCAGAAGTTCTTGTCAGATAGATATTCCTACCCATATAATTCATGTACTTGGTATATTGAATACTGATTATTGAGTTATTTTCATATCTTCCTTATCCATTTTTCTATTTTAAACTAGATTTTTATTTACATTGCCTAGATTTTCCTCTATGTCTCTGCCCCTCTCCTTCCCAGATGTTCTCTTTTCTAACAAAGATTTTTTTAAAATGAAATGATGTTAATTAAATGTAGATTGAAATAATCCACATTTTCGTAGACCTCAAAAAATTTATATTCCTTGAAAATGACGTTAAACTTCCTAACCATATGGCATTATGTTAGCAGGTATTCGCTTTACGTTGTCATTCTATAATACTGAATATATGCTACTAAGAAAGAAATTACCCATAAAAAAAAACAACTTTCCACTTCTATTTTATGTATCCATAGGTTGCTGATAGAATTCTATGATTCACCGGATTCCCAAAGGAGAAGCAAGTTTCCAGGGAAATGTATTAATTCCAAACTAAGCCTCAAGAAAACTTTGCCATCTTTACTATTCTTAGGTGGTCTGACTGCTAGTATGCTCATGACAGAGTCTGGAAGGAAATTGTATGTGAAAACCTGGATATATGGAACCGTAATTGGCTGCCTGTTGGTTAGTATTAAAGTGTAAGCAAATGCTGTCTCCAATCAGTGGAATGAGCTATCCTGTCTCTTGAGAGACAGCTGCACATTTCACTAAACTGTTTCCTGAATTTATAAAGAAGTGTAAATAAAGCCTTATTGACTGAACATTGGATAAATTACAATTTGTGACTTCAGCCTATTTGTGGTTGGTCTTGGATAAGCATACGTAATTTTACAAGTTTACTCTTGAATTTGCTGTAAAGTGAATAGATATACTGAGTTGTGTTATACCTTGCATTCCCCATGAACTTAATGTCAGTTTTGGATGAACTACAGAAAATTAATGGAAGTGTATAGCTTGTTATTTTTTATGTAACTCAAGTTGATCAGTGAATATATTCCTGGATATTAATTTGCAGTATATATTCTTCCATTTTTTTTTTGTTATTTTAGGTTGGTTTTTTTTTTCCACAACTTGTGACTTTATTAATTGTAGCTAACAAAGCTAGTATTTTGCAGTTATGTGACTTTTTTTGTTGTTGGTCAGTGTGTTTCTTCACAGAAGTCTAAGAAATTAGTACCTAGATAAGGAAATGTATAAAGACACAAGAAATGTTTATGGGGAAGAAGCTCTTTTTACCTAGTCTTTTCATTATTTCATTATTAGCTGATTTAATTACTTATATATGTAAAACATTTCACTATGTCTATTTTTAATCAAATTAGCCTAATTTTCACACCTTGTGCTGTGCACAGAAGAATGTATAAAGTATAATGAAAATTAAGTCTAAGCTAAAATTGTCACCCAACCAAATTGTAGGAAAACATTTTTAAAAATTGTTCAGTTTAATAAAGATTTCAGCTAAGCTAACTAGAACATATGTGCCATAAATAGTAGATCATTTAAGTTTTCTGTTACTTCATAATTATCTGAGCAATCAATTTGAATTGTATGTTTATTCTTTTACTCTTAATGGGTCAAAAGTATATTTGAGGTAGCATAAAGCACTCAAATGTTTCTGCTAAACTTTTAAGCATGTGCCTTTTGCCTACTAGTTTGGTTTTTAACTTAATATTTAGTAAAAAAAGAAAATTATTTTTATTTTACTATCATATAATTCCATTGACTATCATATAATTTTCATTTGAATTAGAGATTGTAGTGTTGATATGTATGGTTTATACAGTAGACTATTAGTAAAAGAAATCCATAGCCAGCCAGTATTTGTCCTGCTTAAAATTGAACCCTTTGTTTGGAGGTTCTCACTGCTACTGCCAATGCTCTTTGCAGTTGTCTCACGTCAAGAAATTCTTGTTCCTGGAGGCAATGGGATATTTATTCCATCAAGCAGGACTAAGGGAATGATCTTCCTTTAGAAAATGTGTTTTTTTTTTTCCAATTCTGTTGGAAAAATCTTGACCTGGCCACAAGGCAAAAGATTAATATTGCTCTCCTTGATTCTTTGAGTTTTCCATTTTAATGGGGTTTGTGGCTCACTGAATCAAATTAAGAAATTGCATTTTGACAACTGAGTCATTACACTCATCAACCATAGAACAAGATATGGTTTGCAATGACTGTTTTACTTTTTTTTTTATTTCTTATCATTTATAGTAGTCCTTTAGGGTCACAATTCTAGGTTTAGATTTGTTAACCCTGGGTTTTTGTTACTGGATTTGCAGCATCAGTGACTAAGGCAAGAGACGCTAATTAAATCATGATGAATCATGAAAACAATTACAATAAATAATGTTTAATACAATACAGTGTGCTTCTCTGAAAACAGAGTGAGTAAACTATATTTTAAGTAACAGCTTTGAAGACTTAAGTATGGCATACATAAGCAGCATAAAATTGGTTTAACTCTGACATAGGCAGATCTATGTGCGGTGTTATAATGCCAAACTTATTTTAAACTTCCTTTACCATGAAATTTAGAACAAATTTTTTACTGTCTTTGAAAATGTTTTTAAGACTCACAAGTACACACACACACACACACACACACACACACACCACAGCTAGTTAAGTTAGGATAATAATCAAGCTCCACAAAAATAATTATGATATTTATTTTTCACCTAATAACTGGATATCTAGTTGGTGTACCTTAGGTAAAATTTTAAAGTGCATTATTGTTTAAGTTATGTTCTTCCACAGTGATACAAAATAGCAGTGTGACTAGAATGAAAATCATCTTGAACATCTGGCTCTTTGATTATGCTGACACACTTTTCTCACAGACTGGAAAGCCTAATAAAATAATTCTTATTTTATAAGTTCATTTGCTTATGTATCAAGATGTTTGGAAAATTAGTTGCTCTTAACATGCACTGATATTAACTTGAATTTTTTCTTATTAAGGTCAAGGGCCCCCTGCTCATATTTTTTGTTTTTACTTTTAGTGAAGTATTCTCATAAAATATCCCTTTAAGCTTTTGTTTATATCATTGTTTACAGCTGAATTATCGCTTAGTTATTCTTTACAAAATACAATCACTGTGTATGCATCTTGTGCTTTTCAGCAAAAGGGTTTGTGTGAAAGTCAGCAAAATAAAAACTTTCCGTCTCTTATGTCTGTGCTACTTAAAATTTTGTGAGCTTGAAATAATTCATGAGCAATTACATGCAGAGAACAGGTGTTGTAACTGGCTATACTTTCAGAACTTTATAAAATGGTAATCTTTTTCTAAGGTATGGTGAGGAGATAAGTATTTTTTCATAGACGATCATACCCCAAGTGCATAAGATTTTTTTTTCTGTGCATCTAAGTTAACAGGTATTGTTTATGATTAAGGGTAGGAGGATTTTGGAGCGAACTTGCTGGCAACTTCCTGGACAGTTATTTGTGCAATAGTAAATTAATTACTTGAGGGCTAAAAAAAAGTTCAGTGAGTAAAAATGCCAATTCCAGCCATTCATTGTATTGAATCATATCCTTGTATCAATGATGTTCTCACATTTTCTTGTCTGTGGTTTCTTCTTTAAGAAACGTGCCAAATAATTTTATTAGACACTCTTTCTTTTGCTGTTTATATAATTTTAATTAATAAATGATTTTGCTGCTCTAAATATAAAAAGCAAGGCATAACTCCATGCCTTCTCATTTGCATTTTGCAGATTATTTGTTAAAGATGGCCAAAATAACCAGATTAACCATTTTATTGTTTTGTTAACTAAATGCAGACTCATATATCTTGATGTGTATTAAACACGTATTCATTGAAAATTTTTAGGTCTAGGTAGTATTTCATATGTATAATTTTACATCAGATATCAAAAGTCATCAAATAAATATTTGTATGTGATGAAATATAGTATATAAGGGAAATGTCTTTGACATTTATTCCTAGTGATGTAAAATGTTTTTCAAGTGCTTAATTCAGTCTGTTTCATAGAAATTTGTCTATTAGTGTAAATTACATTTCAGGGTGTATTTAGTTGGGGCAATTTACTTATGATGAGCAAAATATATTTTCAGATCAGAATTTAGCTAAATCAGTATCACAACCTGCCATTTAAGGCAATTTGCATCATATAGAGACTTATGATATAAAAAATGCAAATGAAGAACTTGGAATTTCATCATCCTGACTGAGGAGGTTTCCAAATATATGGTAGTACATAAGCAGAAGATCTATATTACTAACCAAATTTTTCACTTTTCAGCCGCATAATTTGGAGTACTGTGGACCATGTCATTGATTTAATTTTTTCAGATTGGTCACCTTGAAATGCCAGCTATTTCATGTAACTTAAGGATGAATGGATAAAATGTTTTAAATTTTTGCTATAAGTACATAATTCCTGTAGGACTTGAATTTTAAGTCAAATGATTTGGTTATTATCCTGAAGAGAAAGAAATCTGAAACTATTTTCTAGGTAGCCACACAAGAAGAGAAAACTCCTTTACCCCTATTCTATTAAAAAAAAAAATGAATGAGGCCTGGAGGGAGGAGACCTGGATCTTACTCTAGCCTTAATTAGCAATATGACAATGGACAAGTTTCCTCATCTAAATAATGTGTATATCACCTACCTCACAGGGTTGTTGTGAGGAAAGCGCTTTGTAAAACTTAAAGCGCTATAGAAATTTATGTTACTATTGGAATAGGAATTGATGTGATATATAGTGGTTCCTTGTATGAATTTGTTGACAGTTATCAGTTCATTACTCAATATTAGTAGCCAAATTTTTAATACTGTCTTAATTTACATGTTCTTGTTGTGTATGTGTAAAAGATGTATCAGTATGTTTATTTAGACTTTCATATTTGAAGGTAATGCTACATCCTGATATGATTATTATTTGTGTTCAGTCCCAGCTGGAAAGACTTGCCTGATAGTCATGCCCACATTATGCATACATGAAGAAGCCACAGAGCACTGTGTTATGCAGTGTTTGGTGATCCTGGCTGTTTTCATGCCACCTGGGCTAGCCCTTTCCTATTCAGGATGAAAAGTGCTCGTGCTTAAAGTTTTTACTTCTATTCTCTTATCAGAATTTTGAATGTAGATTTACTACTACCTCTATATCTTAATAAAGGTAAGAAGATCAGTTTTAAAATTGTATTTTATAATCAGTTTTTAAGTCGTTTGCAAAATGCACAGACTGGACCTAGTTAATTTTTGTTTACTGAGATGGATTCATATTTTATAAGAGGTTTTCAAATATTGATGTGGTAGAAAGAGCCCTGGTTTGGCATCAGAAGAGTTCACTATAAATCCTGACTCTTACTACCTATATGTGATCATTCGAAGGCAAGTTACCTCCCCTCTCTGGGCCTCACTTTCCTCATTTGTAAAATGAAGGAGCTAGATATGCCATCCTATTCTAAATTTTATGAATTTCATGATACAATGACCTATTAAGCTTAAATTGGCATGACTTGATAATTTAGCACATATATTTACCACAACTTTTGAACAGAATTTCATTGTTTTAAAAATATTTTGTGTGTGTTCTTTTAGTCCTAAGGAGATATGGGTAAAATATGTCAAGTTTTAAAATTATTCCGTTTTGTATTATTTTCCCTTGTCATTCAATACCCCTGTAAATAGTTTTATAAAATTAAGTTTGCTTTTTGTAATACTTATGGAAATGAAATGCTTCATCAGTGGTTTTTTTTTTTGTCTCTCACAAATACAGTATATTTTAAACAATTACTGTGGCCTTCATTTAGAAGTGAATGGTGACATATCTTATGGTAACTAAAAGAATAAGGGATTAAATTCAAACATGGATCAAATTACATATAATGAATTATAAGTTACAACTACAAGGAGTCTTCATTTTGAAAATTTCAGCTGTTGATATCTTATGGGTGTGCAGAAAAAAATTAAATGGATAATTTTAAAAACCCAGAGATTTCAGAAGTTTAAATTTCAAGTAAGAAATTTATGGGAAATAGGAGAGAGAAGCAAAGAAAATTAACTAAATTTGAAGAAAGTGTTCACATAGAATCTTATGGATATTATAGAGAATTCTCAAAAGGGAACACAGTGATCCCACAATGTTAATGCGGAGCATTAACAATTTTTTTTTTTATCCAACAATCATCCTTCTCCCTCAGTAGTCTAGGTTTTCTAATGTTGTCAAGAACAAAACATCAACTCGTACATTTGATGTCTTTACTTATGGAAGTTATTTTTAGTTAATGTGAACTGTTTCAGTCCCTCTGTCCCCTTACTACCCTGCTCAAGAATCCAGCCTTCTCTGGTGGATTTGATCCTCTCAAGCAGTCTCATTCAGCCTTTGTTATTTGCTATTACTTTAACATATGATTCCACTATTCAACTCGGTTGTAAGTATCTTGAGGATAGGAGCTAAAGGAAATACTGTTTTGAATTTCTGCATTCATTTGAAAATGTGGAAAATTTGATTTTGAATTTTGATCACTTGAAGATTGGGATAAAAAAGGAAGAGAAAATACTGTATATTGGAAAGTGGTTAATTTTTCTCAAGTAAGATGCTACAGTTGGCTGAAAAGGAAACAGCAGTACTCTTAGTAGGTACTTTCCTCCTTTTATTAGAGATAAAGTTAGTGTTACATGAAAAGGTAATTGAAACTGATTTACATGAATGCTCATGAATACTGAGAAACTCATTTAAATATCTACTTGATGGAAAGGGAGATCAGGGTAATTCTCTCTAGGTCTTTAATTACCAGCGAACAAGGTAAAATTTAAAAAGAACTATATAGATGCTAAGAGTACTGAATGAAAAGGGATAGAATGTTTATTACACCAGTGGTCTATGAAGATATTTTGCAGTAGAGCTTTTAAGGGGTTAAAAAAGGGGTATGTGAGCTAAACTGATTCTTAGAAAATTAGGTTAGCTATGTAGTATTACAGAGGTGAGAATGATAGTTCTTACATAAACACAAATCCTGTGCTCATGCTATTGCCTGACTCCAGTCTACATCAACTGAAATCCTATGCAACCCCCAGGGCCTAATATTTTCATGGTGTTTTCCTTGTTCTCTCAATCAGAAGTAATCCCTTCTGAGAGTTCTTCCCCTGTTCATTATCACAGATTACATGAGAGAGAGAGAGAGAGAGAGTGTTTTCCTTAAGATAATGGATCATGTCAGTCAAACATTTGTTAATGCCTTCAGTGTACTTCTATGTGCTAAGCTCTGTAGCCCTTAAGGAGCCCATAATTTAATGGAAGAGCTGAAAAGGTTGGGGGAGGAGTAGAAGGGCAACTGTGGGCATTATGAAGTCCTGCAGCCAATTGGAAAATGATTTAGGTATCTGCATTGCACCCTGTCCTTAAATAGAGGATCTGGAAAGAACTCTCTGATGTCTACCCTCACCCTATCTAATGGGTGTGGGCAGGAGGTACTGAGGGAGCATGAATTTCAGAACTGATTGACCATGCTTGAAATTGAGTTTCTGGAGACGATAATGTACATGTCTCATTCTTCATTGTATGGACCTAGTTTGTTACCTTTCACATTAATAAGCACTCAAGCGTTTGTTTAAATTTTCTCTCTTGCTCAAATCACATCTGGAGTACTACGTTCAGTTCTTGGCTCCAGGGGAGGGAAATCAGAATTGTAAAATGTCTTGAGCTCATGCCATGAGAAATCAGAAGGAGTGGAGATATTTAACATGAAGAAAATTTTTACGATGAATATGCTAACTGTCCCCAAGTATGTGAAGAGCTATAAAGTGGAAGGATAATACTTGCTCTTTTTTAGTCCCAGAGGACAAGACTAAAAGCATTGGATAGAAATTACAAAGAGACAAATTTATACCTAAGTAAGGAAAGCTTCCCCAAAAACTGAAGCTCTCCAAAAGTGGGATAAGCTGTACACCAGGAGGATAGGGAGCTTCCCTTCACTAAAGGTCTTCAAAAGCTGAATGACTGATCATTTATCAGTTGTGTTGTATGTTTTTTTCAGGTATGGGTTGACCAAGACGGTCTTTGTCATCCCTTTTGACTGACATTCTGTGGTTCTGTGACTTGAATTAAAGGGTCAGAGGAATCCAAGTATGAGAAACTCCAGATAATTGCATATCTTTGGTCATGATAGAATTTCATTGGAAGAAGTCAGCAAACATTTATTAAGCTATATTCTAAGCACTTTACCAAGTACTTGGGATTTTGAACAAAACAAAACAAAATGAAAAACTCAGAGCTCACATTCTAATACTGGAGAAAACATGAAAAAATTATACAAACAATATATACAAGATAAGTATGAGATAATCAAAAGAAGGAAGGCACTAACAGTAAAGGACATCTGGAAAGCCTTCTTGTAGAAAATGGGATATTAGCAGAAACTTGAAGGAATCCAGGGGAGGTGGAGATGAAGAGGGAGAGCATTCCAGGTATAGGAGACAAAAATACTCAACATCTGGACCTAGGGCATTTTGTTTGAGGAACAGCAAAGAGGTCAGTGACACTGGATTGCAGAGTATGGTCATGATGGTGCAAGGAGACTGGAAAGGTAAGAAGGGAGCAGGTTATTTTATCCAATATTATTTATTACTATTAATATTTTTACATGGTCAGATCTCTACTAGCAAGAGATTTGAGACAAAGAGACTAACCAAAAGCTATTACAGTAGCCCAGTGTGAGGTGATGAGTGCCTGCTTAAGGATAGTGGTAGTGTCAGAGGAGAGAAGGGAGTGTTCACTGTAGAGCTAAGGAAACACCTGTCACTTTTTTGCAAGAGGAGTAAGGATTTTGGGGAAAAAAGTATTTTATCTTCTTGGATATCCATTTGGATATTTGCTCATGGAGAGATGATATAATGTCTTTGTCAGACGTGTTTTCAGAAGTTGATTTTCAATGTTATAATATGGTAAAAAGTTATAAAACTCCATGATCTCACAGAATCACAAAGTTGGAAGGGACATCTAGTCCCTCTCTACAACAAAACCAACAAGAGGTTATCAAACCATTGCTTGATTCTCATAATGTTTCAGGTGACCCAAGGGGTTAGGTAGTAGAGGGCAGCTTTGTGGCATAGTGGATAAAGTACCAGGCCTGGAATCAGGACATCTTCCTGAGTACAAATTTGACTTCAAGTACTAGCTCTGTAATCCTTCACAAGTGACAATTCTATTTGCTTCAGTTTCCTCATCTGTAAAGTGAGCTAGAGAAGGGAATGGCAAACCACTCCATTATTTTTGCCAAGAAAACCTTAAATAGGGTCATAAAGAGTCAGACATGACTGAAAATGGACTAACAACAAAGAGGTAATGGAAAGGCACAAATTAGGTATAAGTAGGCTCTAGCATACACCAATCATACAGTACATAAGAATTGTAATAGAAAACATCAATAGCATGTGTAACAGAGAAAGGAGGTAGACCACTCCTATTATAAGAGTGAAGGATTGCAGATCATCTATGTGCTGCACATATTAAAAGAACCAAAAGGACTTCTGCTCATTGGATCACTCCTCTTAAGTAGAATGTA